GCAGGAGAGTACATGGAATGTGTACTGATCTCTTCCTAGGAAAAGGCAAACACAGCCTTTGCTTTTTTTCAGGTTCAGATTTGTTCCTCTGGTTGCCAGGTGATCACTATTTCCTTTTTTCTTCTGCATATAAAATTAAACTCCTAGTTCTCCTCCTCACTCTGAGATTACCCATTCTTCCTTCCCCAGACTGTGCATTACTGCACTTCAGATTTTGTAAATCCTCTTCATTCCCTTTTTATTATATTTTTTAGCTTTTGGCATGAGACTTAGTAGCTTTTATGGACAAAGTGAAAAATAATTTTCAGCTCTTTAAATCTTTCAAGGGTAGAAGCAATTAAGACTTGCTTTTTTGTCAAACCATTATCTCAGTGCTGTTTGTAGTTAATACTGAGGATAACACTGGCTATAACTTACTTGCTGAGCATTCTCATGGCTAATACTCTTTTAATTGTTAAAGATGCTAAGTGCTTCTTTGGAAATTGTCTCAGATCCCAGATGTGATGCCTCAGAAGAATTCCGAAAAGATCAGAATAATCCACTTGATTTGCATGAACTTTTGACTGAAATACAGAGTTTGCGAGTGCAGCTGGAAAGGAGCATAGAGACCAACAAGTCTTTGCATGAGAAACTGGAAGAACAGCTTTCCAAAGGGAAGAGAGAGGAAGTGGGATCACTGTCAGCTGCTAATATCGACTGTCTTTTCAAGCAAGGCTCTCAGCACTATGCAGGATTGAATGGTACTGTGCTCCCTGTGCTTCCGTGGGACTGTAGAACCTGTGCCTTGTCCTTTCAAGATGCTCTTAAAGCCTTAGACAACATCAGCTGTACTCAAATCCCTTCCCTGTTAGAGCTGGTGGTGCATGGGGTGGGAAGTGCTCACTGCACTTCCTTTTCATTCAAGGGAAGCACTTGCAGAGTCTCTGTGATGGAAGGATTCCTGCAATACATTGCCAGAAATTTTCCTTACCTGGGGGTCCTTTTCTCATTCCAGAGCTCTATAGTGTTTGCTAAGGGTGAGTCTGTATTACACAGAATGATCAATAAGTGCTTTAAATGAGCTTTGGAGAAATGAGTTCTCCCCTTCTTGCCCTTGAGGAATATTTTACCTTTATTTCAATCACTGTTAAGTGATTCTGTTTTAGCCAATCAGGGAAAATGTGGTGTTTACACTCAGGGTTAGATTATTGTTTCAGTACAGATGTACTTGGGATACAGAGGGCACAAGACTCTTCCTTGCTGCTTAAAGTGCTCTGCAGAGTAACAGCTTTCCATACATCCAGCATAAAGCCACATGGAGCAGAGAGACTCCTTGGAATGTCAACAGCTGAATCTGTTTGCTTTTTAGCTTCAGGAATGTGGAAGGTCTGAAGAAGAGGGATATAGAGACAGTCTTTAGTCTGGTACAGCTCTGGAGGACATCATACTTCTTGGGGGGTTAGTGGGAAGCTTAAATTTATTAATTAAAATATGTTCATTAGGATGTATTTTCGATTTTCTGACTGTGACTCGGTTTTGGAAGATCTCTAGAACTTTGCACAGATGCTAAAATATAAAAATAGGTAAATACTAGATGATACATGTCATGATACTAGAAAATTAGCTGTGTTTTCCTGCTTCCTCAGTCCAAGTGCAGCATCAGCAATAAGGAGAACCAAAGCAGAGATAGGAAGCTTTTTATAATGCATATAAACATCCACTGATATACTCATCCTTCTTCCTTTTATACACAGAAAATCTTTGCAAATGCCCTGCTGCCAGCAGGAACATCTGTGAGCTGCAGAAGGAGAAGCATGGACACTGCATTTCCCTAGGCAAACCAGGTACAACCTGTTTTAAACATATTACCAGCACCTCAGGCTTGCTGTTTAGGAGAAGCCTAGTGTAAATGAGTTCTACGTGTGAGGATAAACCAAGTCTTTTTCTGTCCCATTCAGCCCCTAAGGACGATTTGGACAGTGCTTCCCACTGCAGCAGCACCTCCTCTTCCAGCCCCACGTGCACCCCTCGGCTGGTGCCCGGGCATCGCATGTGGGCAGACAGGAACGGGCGCCACGTCCTCGGCCTCGTCGAGGACTACAGTGCCCTGAGGAAGCACATAGCAGAGGGGCAGCAGGTGATGGCAGGAGTGGAGACTGCCCTGAGACAGCTCACCGGTACCCAGCTGCAGGAGCCTGGAGTAAAGGTAAACAGAGCTGTTAAAGGATGCTGGATTTCACCTCGAGGGGCAAAATGTGGAGCTTCCAAAGGGAAGAACCAGGTTAAGAGTGCAGCAGGCACCATTGGCTGAGTAACTCCTTCAGGACACCTCAACCAACAGTCCAAGTCTCATCTAGATACAGGCAATTTGTCATTCTGATTCTGTGATTTGTGATTGTCTAATGAAGCTACAGATAAGTGAGTTAATTCTGATCCTTTAACCAATCTTACTTTGACTTGCAACTTAAAATGAGGTAAAACTACTTGATTTACTGTGGAAATTGGTGTTTATTATACTGGAAATGAAAGCAACAGCAGAAAACCCCAAGTAAAACCTTAATATGCTTTAGAGAGGGCTTAAACTAGGGGTATGTAAGAGTAACCTAAGGATAAAAATAATTGAGGTTTTCCTGTAATGAAGGTTTGGGATAAATTCAGGAAATAGGAGAGACAGCTAAAAGAAATGTGATATGGAGCTGATAAAGGTGAATCCAGCTCCTTAGTAACACCAGGTTATAACTGCACATTAATGATTGAGGCATGCTAATGAGGGTTGTTTCATATTACATTCATATTTAGGGAAGGTTTTTAATATTTTTCCACTTC